CTTTCGGGGATAAAAAGCACTCTATTATTTATTCCAGACTTCTAACTTTATGTCTGCAAAATTTCAAAGCAATCGGTTAAGTAGTTACGGCGTGAAAGCGGAACAAACAAACTCACTTTCCGATTTATAAGATTAGTAAGGATTATGTGGTTATTTTTACATTTCTGGTTTAGTTACTCAGTGTCACACTAAGGTGGCAGTAAAAGAGCAATGTATTAACTCGTCGAGTACCGGTTTTGTAGACACAATTGTAGAACAATAGGTTGCGGTCACCGGTGACCGCTTGGTGTTTGACAGTTTAATGTAGACATAATACAGTAGGAGTAACATGGAAAAATAAAGCAGTAACTTTTTTAATATTTCTATTAGTAAAATAATAGTTTCACGCAAATTGTAATAGCTTAAAAAGGTCAAAATGTTTACTTGTTTATGTAAGTATCTCATTGGTTGAGTTTGGTTGCAGTTGAATGATTAACATATGAATTGGCTTGTGTCGTGTAGGAGTGGACGAGGCGTCGGCGGCCGTGTGTGTGTGGGTGCGCGCGGAGGCGTGTCCCCAGTGGGGGGCGCTCTGTCCTGCTGCCGCCGTCCGCGCCGCACTAGTACGCGGCGCTGGCCCGCCTCAACGCGCTGCTGCCGCCGTCCGCGCCGCACTAGTACGCGGCGCTGGCCCGCCTCAACGCGCTGCTGCCGCCGTCCGCGCCGCACTAGTACGCGGCGCTGGCCCGCCTCAACGCGCTGCTGCCGCCGTCCGCGCCGCACTAGTACGCGGCGCTGGCCCGCCTCAACGCGCTGCTGCCGCCGTCCGCGCCGCACTAGTACGCGGCGCTGGCCCGCCTCAACGCGCTGCTGCCGCCGTCCGCGCCGCACTAGTACGCGGCGCTGGCCCGCCTCAACGCGCTGCTGCCGCCGTCCGCGCCGCACTAGTACGCGGCGCTGGCCCGCCTCAACGCGCTGCTGCCGCCGTCCGCGCCGCACTAGTACGCGGCGCTGGCCCGCCTCAACGCGCTGCTGCCGCCGTCCGCGCCGCACTAGTACGCGGCGCTGGCCCGCCTCAACGCGCTGCTGCCGCCGTCCGCGCCGCACTAGTACGCGGCGCTGGCCCGCCTCAACGCGCTGCTGCCGCCGTCCGCGCCGCACTAGTACGCGGCGCTGGCCCGCCTCAACGCGCTGCTGCCGCCGTCCGCGCCGCACTAGTACGCGGCGCTGGCCCGCCTCAACGCGCTGCTGCCGCCGTCCGCGCCGCACTAGTACGCGGCGCTGGCCCGCCTCAACGCGCTGCTGCCGCCGTCCGCGCCGCACTAGTACGCGGCGCTGGCCCGCCTCAACGCGCTGCTGCCGCCGTCCGCGCCGCACTAGTACGCGGCGCTGGCCCGCCTCAACGCGCTGCTGCCGCCGTCCGCGCCGCACTAGTACGCGGCGCTGGCCCGCCTCAACGCGCTGCTGCCGCCGTCCGCGCCGCACTAGTACGCGGCGCTGGCCCGCCTCAACGCGCTGCTGCCGCCGTCCGCGCCGCACTAGTACGCGGCGCCCGCTACACTTTACCTTAAATCACACAATGACATCTCCCGCCAAGGGAATGCCAAACTCTTCCTCAATAAAACCCACCGCGGTCCATCTCCTGCTCCGAGCCAGGCCGCAGTATATCATTGCGCTCGACCCGCAATTACGACCAGTTACTGAATAACACTAATCTTACAATGGATTAATGACACCATCAATTAATCTTGTTGACCTATCTTGCAGTCAAGGCGACTGCAAAATAGGTCAACAAGAAACTACATTAGCGCAAGCTTTGCCTTCTTCAAGTGTTCGCAACGATTAAGGCCTGAAATTACATTTAAGAATTTTAACGTAACTAAAAAGATTATTTATATACACTCATTTATACTATGACAATCTTTTAAAGACAATTATTTCGTTAAAACGACTAAAATCACAATGAAAGAATTAAACAACATGCAATACGAGAAATATATTTATTATACACATCCAGTATGCAACATACATTGGTTGTGGAATCAGTGCCTTACATAAACACTAAATACATAATTCTGGAATTGTTTATCATATAACGACCAGTATTTTAGGTAGCTACAATTTTATAAAAGACATTTAACTTGTTATAAGCATTTTTTATTATGTATGTTTTTATATTCGAATATTTTTATATAAGCGCTACGTCTTCCAAACGAGGCAATCAGACGAAATGAGTCTTCCTTTAGTTGTAGTATATTATTATTACTTGTATTATACTTTAGAGACTGAAATATATCCATTATTTTAATTAACTAATATAATTAAGTAATGTAGAACATGTTCTGTTTAGTTTGATTAAGTGATGAATATATGCCATAGCTTGCATGATGTCCACTGAGCCAATACTTTGTACTGTAGCCAATCTTACGAATACACTTGTGAGTTAGTTTGTGCACATGTTTGTAACTCGATCACATCAAACTGACTGAAGAGATCAGTATGCAATTTGGAACAAGGATAAATTATAGTCTGGAATAACACGGGCTACTATTTATCTCATGACAACGTGAGCAAACCCGCTGGCAGAGGCTAGTTAATCCTTATATGATTTTGACAGTATTAGGGGCATTGTGTACAACAACAATCCTATCAATGAAAATGTCTACTATTTTTATAGAAGGTAATAAGTGAGAGAGACCGCTACTTGGTCTATTACATGTAGACTGCGAAGTCACGCACTGGGATATCACCCTTTGAGACGATAAAGGAGTTAAAAGTATCAAACAGGAGAGTCCCCAACCTCGTAACTTCTCTAAAAATAGTTTGCTGATGTGTAGATTGCATTATTACTCAGTATTCGTCACTTTATCAAAGATGAACAGTCAGTAGATAGTAATACAATACATGTATATTGTTAGGTAAGTGTAAGTATCTTGCCAGTTACAAGGGTATTACTGTCAGCGCCACGACACGCCACGTGCACTCCCTATATGTGAGATAGATCTGAAATTATGTCTGTATGTTACAACGCAGACACAATAATTATACTTGTATGCATTGATTTGATGAATGAAGATTTCGTGTCGATTGTGGAATCTCGTGCAAAATTGGTAGATGTCGTTTTCGACATTACAAAAAATTTTACTACTCGGTAGCACCCCAATGGAGCCACCATTGGGGTTGCACCAGTTGGAGCTAGTGTGAACTTCTCATCTTTTCGTTCAATCGGGTACTTTCCTTTCAAAATAAATTGTTGCGAATGTTCAATACAATAGAGTATTAAAAAAATAATTACACTTTCATTAATTGATTTTGTGACCAACTTAATTTTAGTATTTTCCACCTAACTTTTAACAATAATACTGTTTGACGCTAAAAAAACGTGACGTCACAATACACTCTCGTAAAATTCATTGAAATCTATCGTTTTTGACAGTTTGAAAAAAGTATTGAATTTGACTAGTTGGCAAGTACCCAATTGGTAATTAGCTAGTGTTACATCATTGGTCATTCAAGTTTTGGTAGCTGCAGTTGTCGGACTAAAGTCCTCATGTTAAATTAGCGCCATCTAGTATTTGAAATTATTATGTTTGGATTTGAAATATGACACAAAATGAATAGGTTTATGTTGTGTAAGTATTTCTCACATTGCGTAGCTCTCACACCGTGCCTTATTGTTGATAAGTTAGACTAGAACAAATGAATCTGTCTTGTACGGGTCTGATACAATATCTATTATCATATTTTTGTCTAAACATTACTGTGTTATATATTTACATGTTTTTTCAAACGAGACAGCTATTTTCAGTTGTATGTTTTGTTGTAATACTTTGTCAAACAAATAATTTAGTGCCAAGACTTGTTAAACACACACGAATATTGTTCTCAAATATTGTTATATGTATAGTTAAGTAGCTGCCATTGTATGTCTTCCCACGTAATGTAATGTTCTTCCAATGAGCTTTATTATATATTATTAAGACTACGAATATTTACAAATTATACAATTAAGGATTATGTAAGATTAAACAAATGACATTAGTTAGTTCGAATTGTTTGTATCGAAGCCCACAGCTATGACATCCCGTACCTATTTATTTGTATGTATGGGGATATTATATTGTAAGACTAACACTGTCGGAGGAAGTGTTCCGAGAGTCGCCTCGTGTTGCCATACTGTGACTGGTGTACTGGTGTACATAGACGACGTCTGCTTGCCAAAGCCAAACAACCTGACAGCTGACTGGAATTTATGTAAGTACGTGTACTATTTACATTGGGAGAGATATTATATTGTTTCATAATTATACGTAATATTTATATACAAACTTGTGTTTTTTTTTCACGCCTACTATAGTAGTGTGGGTCTGCTTGCTATTTGTACCTATGTTTCAATTTAAAATATTCATATTTCGGATTCAAAATACCATAGTTTATTGTGTGGTGTATAAAGCACGTCATATCATTAACATTATGGGGAACACCTCGTGTCTTATTGTTACCCACATGATTGTGGGTAACATTTTCAATAGGAGACTGGACTTTTGGTCTAAATATAAAAATATACATGAATATAATGACTTCAGTCAAGTACGTCTCATTTATCTGTCTAAAGAGAGTTAAGCTATAAGTAAGGCTAAGACCTATGTTGACGCTGCGCTGCGACAAGTGGCTGGTGCGTCTAGTGAGCGAGCCTAGCGCTAACATTTAGGTACTAACTGTCAGAATGTTTATCTGTGACGAACTTGAAGCGGGAACAATGAACGTCTCATCACAAACAGAAGCTGCTCTTAATCTTCCCGCAAACACAAATAATTTGCGGTACCACGTCTATCCGATAAAATCTATATATTTACATAGCAAATGTTGTAATTGCTCTTAACACGTACGACTTAGGGCTCATTTTAAATTTAGTGCATTTTCATTGACTAATAATGTTATCGAAGAACAAAAAGGTTCAGTTATTTATAGATAATGCTTGAGGTATATAACGTGCACGTCAATTGCTCGATGCACAATTATCTAAATGATCAAGATGGTCGGTGAAGTAACAAGCCGTGTGTTGTTGGAGGACGTTCTGTCGGAGAAGCAGGTCCACCACATAGTGAAGCAGGCGACCGGTGCCGACACCTGGGCACTGCGTGCGAGTGACGTCACGCCGGCGGCGGACGGCATGGCCGGCTTCCTCGCAGACCACAAGCGAGTCAGGCTGGACGTCGCAGTGGACGGGCAAGTGAAACACATCCATCTGTTTATAAAACGTATCCCACTGAACAACCAGCCGAAAGCAGATTTAATTACCAACAACAATTACTTTAGACGTGAGCAGTTCATGTTCCAAGTGCTCGAGGAGATCCGAGATCACAATGGTAAGTCATTCCATTCCAAATAGCACTGTCCTACTTACTTAGGTACTTCAATAAATAAAGAAAGAAAGGAACCACACGACTAGTTCTAAATCAAAACAGTCAGTATCTACTCTGTAGTTTTTTGACACTCAATACAAGCTAGCAGCTTCAGATCTCAAGTGAAAGAAGTGAATTTATTTCTGCAAATTGGCTACGAGGCAGCACTTTAACCCGTCAATTTTATCAAGCGAACAATGAGGCCTCAGAAAGAAAAACTTAACATATACTGCCTAAGACTTTGAGTTACGTTTGACTACCTACATATTTGAGCTCTTACGAAAATAAAGTTGTTACTAATGTAGTGTGTAATCTAATAATTTAGAAGCACGTTTCGAGGTAGATGTAACAGGCAACTTATTTATGAATACAGGTTTATCAGACATAATATTTCAATTGGTCTCCTTCAGATCCAAATCCCTGGTGTCCGAAAGCGTACATCTACACTGACTCAGTGATCGTGATGCCAGACTTGTCGGTAGAAGGGTACGCCTCGCCTTACTACCTGGACACGCTGGACTACGAGCACCTGATGCTCGGCATGGCAGCGCTCGCCAGGTTCCGGTTCCACGCAGCCTTCACCAACTACGAGACCAAGAAAAGTATTGCCAACAACCGTCCGTACAACACTAACGATCAACATGGAAACTTGCTGACGGAGCCGACATTCTGTGACTGTCCCTTCATGAAATCTTGCGCCAAACTAACTGCAAACTTCCTTAAGGCTTACTCTTGCAAGCCGTATCGGAATCTACCTGATTTGGAGGCAAAAATAGGTAAGCAGAATTTAGTTGCATGTGATACTATGAGGGAGTGGAAGGGCACACTGAACGTACTGATCCACAAGGACCTGTGGGTGAACAACATCATGTTCAAGTACCAGGACAATGAACTCGTCAACGCGATGATCGTCGACTTCCAGCTGATCCGATACACGCCGCCCGCGTTCGATGTAATGACCTTCATGTATTTGACGACGTCCAGGAGCTTCAGAGAACAGTACGAGCGAGAGCTGTGCGACCGATACTTCGCAGTGTTCTGCCAGCATTTGGACGATGACTCGAAGCGGCGAGTTAAAGAATTGGGGTACGATAAGGCAAGCTTCCTGCAGTGGTGCGAGCAGAGTCGCATGTTTGGACTGTTGGAATCGGTCGCCATTCATCCCTTCGTCCTGATGCATCCCAAAATTGCACAGAAGACGTTCGACGATCCCGAGACGTACGACCGGTTGGTGAACGAGGACCGCACGGAGCCGGTGCTGGCGTATGCGCAGCAGTGCGCTCGCTACCGGGACAGGATGCTCGAGGTGTCCGAGGAGTTCGTCGAGAGATACGTGCTGAGCGAGTCGTGATCTGCTCAGTGATCAGATCACATACGTTGTTAGCTCAAATTTTTATTATAATGTAACATGGTGTTACGGGAGAATTATTTTAATTAAAATATATGAATAATTTACACTTATTTCATTAGGTGATAAATATTTTTCAAGTCGGTGTTTCATACCCACTAGCTATTGTAATTACACAAAACCTTTGATTTGTACATGCCATTAGTTTCAGTTAAGTCCTTGTAAATAGAACTTCAGTAACCTTCAATGTTTAATCTCGTTACGCGGACAACCATGTCTCTGACAAATGGCTTTATAAGACATAAACCGTGTTAACACGTGACAACATCGTTGATCAAATACAATATTGAACAAATCAGAGACAATGTAACACATGTCAGGTTCATCACACCAAATACCACGAACCTAAGTAGTAAATGTGACGCTATGTCGGCGAGGTGGTGGCGAGGTGGCGAGCTGGCGAGGTAGTGGTGAGTGGTGATGCAAGTGAGGCGCCAGATGGCGCGTCCGTGTGTCCGCCCTGTATGGACATGCCGGCCGGCTGGCTAGGGATGCTGCTTTCAACAATCTTAACTATGTATGTAGTTAATCAGTCTGATCTACAAGGCCTACAAGAAAGATAGTTTTCCTTCTTTAAAACATGGCCTCAAACTATTCTCCAGTGTTAGGGTGCATTGATACTGTGCATTAAATCTTAGGACTTTTCGTATATCGTTAAGTTGTATATTCGTAATCAATGAACCGACCGAAAAGGATACCGACTCTTGACCAGCAGATGAAGATAATAGATAGATTTTGAAACCATTTAAATGTCGAGTAGCGTATGTAAATTAAAACCGTATATAATTTTACGCAACAAACACAACAGTGGCACTGACAGCCCTACACGTGACACAGTTAGCAGGCTGAATATGGACAGCACACAGCGCTCTCCATATCTAGACAGAAAAATAGCCTATTTACTGCTAATGCAGTTTATTTCGCGATCGATTCGCTTTCCTACCATTATGTACCTACCTACCTAAGTACCAACATGTGCATTATGGATGCAATAAATACTTGAATATTAAAGATTTGTTTTAAATATGTAGATTGATATCAATCCTTTTTATAGATAAACAGTTTGATCAAGCAACATCGATATGTTCCTTTTCCGAATGTTTTTGGTGGTATAGATTTTCTTAAAACAAAGCCATATTACAAATTACAATATAATTATGTGGAGAATATAAGTCAGAGATTATGATGTTTATGTTACTGCGAACTGCGTCTTGTTGTTTATCCTGGCCTGTATGATGTGTAGGTACAATGAAGATGAAATAACCTGGAGGCTTGAAGGTCGACTGGTGGAGCTGCACCGGCTCAGGTGGCCGCCGCCGTCATGTCACGCTGCGCACACGCCGCCCAACAATACACGCATTGTGTCAACTGTGCAACCTGCACTTATGCATATAGGTACCTAGAGGTACATATATTAATCTCAGAAGAGACAATGTGCTCTGACTTCCGAATGTTTAAAAACGATAAATGTTGAAAGTTTTCTTAGGTACGGTAAAATGGGGTGAATAGGGACAGAAGAGGGATGAATCGATACTATGAAGCATTTCCCAATATCTATTCACCCCTCTTCTGTCTCTATTCTCCTCTAGATCCTTATCCATCCTATTTTACGGTAGCTACTTAATGTTACGTCTCCCATCTTCGTATGTATAATTATAGAGTTACGGGTCTTCGATCACGTCAACACTAAACTTAAGTGGCCAACGCAAACCAATCAAGTAGAACAAGCACATTAATTTTAATGAACGATGGCGACCAAGTGTCTGTTTGCCAAAACTTAATAAAATAATATTTTAATGATTAATTAATGGACAACATTGTGAATTTGTGATCGGTGTAAGGTCACCTCTGACCGCAGGAACAGAGTTGCATCATGTCGTAAATCTGTCACTGGCGATAGTGGCGATACACATCGCGCCTTACTGTGTGTTTATACGGTGTTATTATGATTCAGTACTTTGTAGGGCTGCTAGGGACACTGCAACTATAACCGACATAATACCTGTTGTAAAGATGTACCTGCTTAGTAGTTAGCAGTACGAGCCTAGATTCGTTCTCAAATACAAAAATAGGTAAACCATTCCTGCAAAATAATTTTCTTCTAGATCCCATGCCACTACACTACACTAGGTAAATAGGTAGGTACTTACTTTTGTCAACTCCATTAAACAGATAAGTACCTATGTTAAGTAAAAACACGGGTTACTCACGTGAATATACCGACCGCGCACGCTGCTCATGAAGAAGAACCCCTCTGTGGTTCGAAACTAGTAGAGCTTTTTTCAGTATATTCACGTGAGTAACCCGCGTTTTTACTTAATTTAGTATGTCTCACGATAGTTATTATAAAAACAAAGTACCTATGTAATAAAATTACAGGCGAGGGAGGATTCTGATTAATTCTCATCTTTTATTTACTTCCACTATTAGTAACTATTCAAATATATAATTACATCTATGTAGGTAGTAGGTACATCCTGAATATTATCGGTCTTTTACAAGCGTCTAAAGGCGGTGGTCTTGTGACGGAGGCAGCCCTGCCATTCACCCCCTGGAGTGGGACAAGGGCGGCGTGTCTCCCAATACGGCGCGCCAATGTCTCTCCTCTCGATTGCGTGTACACACTGTACACACAGTTATCGCATGTTATGTTGTGTTAACTTGTTGTACGAACGTGGCCGTGGCGACTAGTAAAATAACGAATCACTCAAAGCATTTTAAGTCAATAAGTCCGCGTACAGGCACTTTTAAATGAATTTCTCAGTGAAACTACGGATAATACTACCATACCTGCAAGTACAACTTCTATAGGGTCATATGACCCTTTAAGTAGGCTCAGAGTAACAAATATAATGTTCGTGCTTTGGTATGAGAGAGCGACGCCTGCACACTGGTACATTCCCCATATTTGGACAACTTTTAGTTTCATCGTGGCAATTAACAGGAAAACTGAATGACTAGCATCTATAGAACAGCCCGTGCTGTGACGTCACACTCCTTGACCTCATTCGCTTGAGGTCTTTTTTTTTTTTTTTTTTTTTT